TGAGGCTGGACTGGCCTTTGTGGTTCCTATGACAATTGCAAGGCATTCTCAGCAACAACCACCAGGGAACTTTGAAAAAACAAGGCTTATTACTCAGAGCTCTCAGAGGGTACACAGCACGCCCAGGGCCACACAGCACTGTCACGGGTAAGGGAGAGAGAAAGAGCTCAGACCCAGGGCTCTACCCTTATTGGGGTCCAGGGTGGGGTGATTAGGGTTTCACCAGTTCAATCTTTATTGGCAAATTTAAAACATAAGAACAGGAATTAGGCACTCTAACTAGGGAGAAGTGGGGTCATCAAATGACCAGTTATCTAGGTCACCTTGGGCCTTCTAGAAGGGGAACTGCATGGGTGGACCTGCCCTTTATCTAGTAGTGTAGCTGGGAATATGCCTATGTGAGGTGGATGCCTTTTAAATAGTTGCGTCGGCAATGGAAAGCTTAATGCCAGGCACTTACATTACAATCAAAAAGGCTTACTGTCAGGCACTTTCACTCCAAAGACCTAAATACACATCAAGTCTGTGATAAAAAGACTCAATACCATAAGATGTCATGTGTCCCCAATCTGTAATCTATAGATCCAATTCATGTCCAGCATAAATTTCATCAGAGTATTTTTGGGAAAGCCTGATGAGCGGATTCTAACATGTATTTGGATGAGCAGAGGACCAAGAACAGCCAGGGCCCCATGAAGAAGAAAAGCTGGCACCTCGCCCTTCCAGCTGTTCTTGTCTAGAGTTCTAAAGTCTGTGTAGTTAAGACAGGGGAGATTGAAACTGGAGTAGAAAAAAGGAGCAGAACAGAGAATCCCGCAAGAGAGAGCCCATGCCTGATGGAGACCTTACTTGTCAGAACAGGCCCTTGCAAGTACATGGGTGGGAGGAACAGCTTAATGATTTCGGTCCAGCACCAAAAACCACATGGAGAAGATCTGATTGGATACTTATGTAGGAAAATATATACAGAAGTCAACTGTCTGTTATCAAGGCCCTAATGGTTAAAGATGGAGCATTCCAGCTTTGATACTACATGTGTAACATCAGGAAGGCCTCCAAAATAAGATGCAGAAAGATTAAAAGGCTGATAAATTTGACTAACTTAGCATACCATTTATCAAAAAATTTTTAAAAAAATGAACAAAGTGAAATAGCCACAAACTTGAAGAAGACATTTGCAACACATGGAGCAAAAAAAATATGTATATCAGAATATATTTGAAAACATGAATCAAATGAGCAAAAAGCAGAAAACAGATTTCACAAAGAAAACATAGGGAGGCAAAAAAAGCCCCTTTGTTTAGTGATGTCTGCCCAGAAGGTACAACTACAAAGCAAACAATGCAATGATTATCATAAAGTTCAGAATACCACCTGTGGGGAGAAAGTGAGCCTTTGGTGAGTCGTGCGTGGAGGGCCTAGAAGGTTCTGACGTTTTCCTCTGTGTTAAGCTCAATGTTTGCTACATACATGCTTGTTTTATTATTTTCCAAGTGTTACGTATACTCTTTTGCACATAAAGCAAGAATAAGGAAGTGATGTGCACTAGAAAAGAAACTCCCACACTTAGTGGGAACACGGCTCATTACTAACGTGACCTCTTCTGGCTCCTTCTGTGGAGACCTCATCACACGTGTAGTCCTGCTTGTCTGCCTCAGCAGTGGCCACACCAGGAGCCCATTCGCAGTGCCGGGCACCAGCCCTGCCTGGTGGAGTCCCGGAGCCTGCTGTCCTGCTTAGGGATGCCTTCCCTGCCAGCCTATCCCATCTCCTGAGACGTCTGCAGAGGCCTCCCTGTGAGGGTGCATGGGTTCTGTTCCATCTGGAGTTGGCGTCAGGCTGCGAGCCAAGCACAAAGCCTTGTCCAGAAGGCATTGGGTGCTGTGTGTGGCAGCTGGGAAGATGCACAGGTTTGTACTACAGAGCGGGTGTGCAGGTTTACCTTCAGGGCCCTCAAGAGCCATGGGGAACACTTGAGCTCCCCTGTTCCTTAAAGCCAACTTTTCCTCTGGAAGTGCTCTTGCTGAGGTGAACAGATGCCACGAGGCCCCGAGGCCACTTCTCAGCTGTCCTCTGAAGCCTGTGACAAGCCCCTGCGAAGCACACTCCCCATGTCCTCCCACTGCCGTGGCCGCTGCTCCAGTGGTTCTGCAGCTCCCTCCTCACCTTCCCAGCCTCTAGGCCCTGCCGTGCCGTCCCCTCCACCATCATTCACTCTGCAGGTGACCCTGTCACCGGCCCCTGCTTCAAGTGACATCTGTGTGCCGATGCCTCAAGAAGTCACATCCTCACCAGGGACCAATCCCATGAACTCCTGACTTGTGTGGCCCACTGTCTGCTCAGCACCCCGAGGAGACCTCTCATAGGCCTCTCAACTCTGAAATGTCAGCACCTGAATGCTGCTGTTTCCTCAGAAGCTGGGTTGTTCCAGAATCTTTGCCATCCTAGAGTGCAAATGAGCCATCCAGATGCCTGGTTTGGTCACCCTCTTCCTCTCACAGCTCACATCTGATTTGTAAGCTGATTGGATGACCCTTTCCTTTAAAATGTATCCCTATTTTCTCCTCTTTTTACCACTTCCAGCCACTATCATCTTTCACCTGAATTATTTTAATATTGCCCTAAGCACTCTCCTGTTTCTGTTCTTTCCCCCCCTGCATTCTAGTCTCCTGTTTCAGCCAGATGGGTCCTTTTACAGCATGAACTAGGCTATGTCACTTGCTTATCCCCGCCCCTGCCTTCCTGGCTAGCTCAGAGTAAAAGGCAAAGGCCTTAAATAGCCTTGAGGCAATGTTTATCTAGTCTTTTCCTCTGCCCTCTGCTGTCTACCCTGTCCAGCCACACTGCCCACCTGCCTTCTCCTCAGGCATTGTAGGCACACTCTTGCCCCAGGACATGTGCACCTGCAGTGCCCTTTTCTGGGATACATGTCCTTCTGACAACCATGTGGCAGGCTCCTGCACAGCCCTTGGGTCTCTTAAGTTATGCCTTCCCAGATTACCTTATTTAAAATAGCACCTCTTTCCTCTTCATAGCTTATATTTCTCCATAGCACTTACTACCACCTCACATGTAACATGTCTTATGTATATTTGTCTCCTTCCTCTAGGAGAGAGTCTTCTGTTTATCAGTCCATCTACCTGTTCCAGTTTTCTACTGCCATGACAAATTATCACAAACTTAGCAATTTAACTGAGGCAACACGTTTACTAAGTAACCTTATTGTAGTGATCATTTTGCAATATGTATCAATACATATATAAAATCATGATGCTGTACACTTTAAACTTATACAATGATACATGTTAATTATATCTCAATAATCAAAAACGTGTATTATCTTACAGTTCTGTAGGTCAGAATACAGTGGATTTGCCTAGTGTTTCAGCTCTGGGTCTCCCACGGCCAGAATCATGGTGTCAGCAGGGCTGCTTTCCCTTCTGGAGGCTCTGGGGGCAAATCCACAACCAGCCTCTCTCAGGCTGTTGGCAGGATTCAGTTCCATGGGTTGTAGGTTGAGGTCCCTGTCTCCTGCTGACTGTCACCTGAAGGAGTCATTCTTGCCTTCTATGGGCTGCCCACATACCTTGGCTCATGGCCCCTTCCTCCACCTTCAAAACCAGCAATGGCAGTCGAGTCCTTTCTTTCTGCTTCGAATCTCTCTGAGCTGGGTCTCTCTGACTGGCCCCAGCTGGAGAAAGTTCTCTGTTTTTAAAGGCTCGAGTGATTATACGGGGTCCACTGGGATCATCTAGGATAATCTCCTGATTTTAAGCCCATAGCTTTAATTCCATTTTGCACAGTGCCTTTTGCTGTGTAAGGTAACAGTCACAGGTGTGACACCAGGGTAAAGTTTCTGCCTTCTGCACCACCCTCCCACCAGGACAGCATGGACAACAGGGCAACAAGTGCCTTCTGAAAAGAGAGACCTTTATAGTAGCTGATGTGATCAAATGCTGCTCCAAGTTGTTAGAATCAAAAACAGAGGGAATTCCCTGGTGGCACAGTGGTTAAGAATCTGCCTGCCAATGCAGGGGACACGGGTTCAGTCCCTGGTCCGGGAAGATCCCACGTGCCGCGGAAGCCTGCATACTAAAGCCCACACTCTGCAACAAGAGAAGCCACCACAATGAGAAGCCTGCACACCGCAACGAAGAGTAGCCCCCGCTCGCCACAACTAGAGAAAGCCCACACGCAGCAACGAAGACCCAACGCAACCAAAAATAAATAAATAAATAAAAACAAAAACAGAGACCAGACTTGAAAATTCCCTGAGCAGACAACCAGTTTAGTCCTACAAACAAAGCTTAATTTAGCTTATTTTGTAAGGCTAACTTGACCTGGGTCATTTCTTCCTTATGCCTCTGAGAATCATAAGCAAAACTTAAACTGTTTCCCAAGGTTGATATGAGGTAAATACTGACCATTTCCCAATCATTTAAGAAAATTCTAATACTGTAACCAACACTGTGAAGAATAAACAAACCATCACCACTTTCCCATCATACAAGATGCTTTGTAGCAGTGTACCCCTGAGCCTCAATCCATGTTCTGGTTTGAGTGCTCCCGGTTTCCAAACTGTCTTTTTGGTGTGTATTCATTACTTCTTGGGTGATTCATTGTTCTTACTTTGACTGTTTATGAACTGTTGACAAGGCACTCTATGCATTACATCCTTACAGAGCTCTTGTAATGACAACAGGAGCCCTAAGAGCTGGGAGAGCCCCAGGCCCTGTGGTCTCAGGCCCGTGCGACAGTGCACCCTGAAGAGAAGATACCCTGTAGGAAGCACTGGGCCCGGCTTCTGAGCACTCTGCCCTTTAGAAATGAGAAGGGCCTGAACCGTGGTGCTGTCTGCCCTGGTCTGACTGCCTGTACTTTCTTTAGGTCATTTAACTTTGACTTTCTAATCATCTCTCGTACTACTTTTATAAACATCTTTGGCTGTGCCACGCTGCAAATGATTCCATGTTTACACCCCTTTTTTCTCCCCCGTACAGATGCATATCCTAATTCTGAAGTTGTCTATGTCTGGACCAATGGCACAACCAAGTCGGTGGTGGTGGCAGAAGATGGCTCCAGGCTGAACCAATACCACCTGATGGGGCAGACAGTGGGCACAGAGAACATCAGCACTAGCACAGGTAAGCCTCACCCCCCATTCAGGGGCGCACACCCTGGGAGAGCCCAGGACTCTCCTTAGCCACCCGGGCCTGTCGTGCTGTGCTGGCCACAAGGAACCTTCCACATCGGGCCCCCTCCCTCCAGCCGCACATGGAGGCATCAGCTGTGGCATCCTGGCATTAAGGATCATGAGAGCATTAATCTGAGGTGCATTTGCCTCCATGTGAGCAGCCCTGGTGACCGCAGGCCCTGACCGGAGCCCTCATGGACCTACTTATATAACATAGTCCTGCCCAAGCACTGAGACATGAGGGCAGCAGCCTCTGCAGGAAAGGTAGAGAGCTTCCTGCAAATACTCTCATTTACCTGTTCTGCTATCTCCCCACTTTGAACATTTCAGAGGTTTTCCTGGGGTTGAGTTTGGGAAAGCACAACCGGGCACCACAGAAATAGCCGAGGCTTTAGCAGGTGCTGTCCCACCCACAGGCACAGGGCTGGCCTGAGCCTGCAGGGCAGCACAAGCTGGGCTTCACCTGACACAAAGTGGGCAGGGTGTCCAAAGGAACACAACGCGTTCCCTTCTTGCACCTGCAAAGGGTGTCCTCAGACACCTCCTGGCCACAGGAGGCCCAGCCCTAGAGGTCATGGTCACAAGCTTGGTTGTGAGCAGGGGAGGGTCCTGCAGGGCTTCTCATGGCAGGAGAAATGTAGAACAGGGATGGAGTAAGTCCTGCAGGGCTTCTCATGGCAGGAGAAATGTAGAACAGGGATGGAGTAAGTCCTGCTTGCAACATGAGTTCTAAGCCTCAAATGTTACCCTGGTCAGCGTCACTCTGTCAGCATCACCACCCCCTGGAGCTGGCTGGAAGCACAGGGACGTGCAGTGCATGCCTCCTCTCACACAGGCACTCAGTGCCCATCCACTGGCGTGGGCTGGCATCCTGGGGAAGGGGCCTGGCAGGGCTGGGAGGAGGCTGCTGTGCCATGTGGTTACCGTGTTAAAGGCAAGGGAAGAGGAAGCAGACCTGATTTTATGGGAACAAGTGAAAAGGTGGCACGGCAGAGGTTTGGGGTTAAGAATTGCAATGCTAATGGAGGGTGCTACAGTTGGGAGTCGTTTCATGTCGTTCTTTAAAAATTTATAAATGGGTTTCTGCTCTATTTGCATTCCAAAAAGATGGTCTTTTTTTGAACGTTATCTTATATTGTTATCCTCAACTCAAAAATAGAATGAAAAGAACCACCACAACAAAAGAATTACAAGTAGGAGAGTAACTTCAAATCCTAATGCAAAGAAACAGAATGGCATTTTCCCTCTTCTCAAGAATTGAGAGGCAAAATTGGATCATGATAAAGATGTCTTTGCTACTAAACATATCTTGCCACCCTTCTCTCTGTCCCTGTCTCCTTCTGCTAGGCCTGAGCCTATTCCCCTCCTCTCACCTGCTCTCATCTGCCTGAGGCTGTGGGGAGGGCGTGGTGCATCTTGGCCCTGAGGGAAATTTGGTCTCCTCTTCTGTAAGAGGGCAGAGTTTGCCACATATGATCTTAACTCATGCTGTGAGAAAAGGCACGTAGGGACACATCCACAGCTGGCCTTGCTGAGCACTGGGCTTTGAATCCAACAGCAGGCGTCCGAGCTATGTAATCAGTCTCAAATGTCTCAACATTCTGCCCATGCAGCCAGCCGACCACCCTCGAACAGATGGCCCCACCAGGGGTCTACCTTAGCAGAGACCCCAGGCCCTTCCCCCCACATTCACAGTTCCACCAGGCTCCCTGGCCACACCATCTACTTGTTGCAATTCAGCTGAAGAACTCTTGTCCTCAGATCAACTCAGCTCTGCCTCCACCTCTCAAAGCATCCTTCCCATCTCACCAGAGAGATGCAAATTCACACAGCAAAGGAGACTCTGTCTAACACACCCTCCCACTGCAGCTGCCTTGGCTCCTTACCAGTTCACCATCAGGGCAGCATCGTTCTCCGCAACGAAGGGGAGGTCTGCACTCGCCTCCCACACAGCCAGGCAGATCCAGAGAAGGCACTGGGGCATCGCCAAGGAAATGCCCTCACTCTCTCTGTGGACCAGCGGAAGCTCAGAGCGGCCAGCACCAGTGGCCTCCGGAGGCTGTTGCTCCTCACCCCCAAGCTGGCTGAGGGGGCACAGAGCCTGTGGGAAAGTGGTAGCCCCCCACTCCTTCCAGCCCTCCCTGGCTGGGAAATGAGGAGAAAACAATCCACCCACGACAGGGCTCTGTGATGTCCTGAGTTATATCTGGAGAGGCTAAATCCTGAAATCCCGATGGCAGTAGCAGTGAGGGGGGCAGGTGGAGAGTGGCATAGATTGTGACCAGGGATTAGGAAAACACACAAATCTGATTTTCCCCAGCAAAGCATCCACCAGCAGAGGCTCTTCAGAGGCTGGGGGTCAAAAGACTTACTTATAAAATGACCATTAAGAAATCCATGCATCCTTCAGCCTCTCCTTCACCCAAACAATACAAATAAATGCTTGTCCAAAGGGAGGGTGGAGAGAAGGGAAGCTCTGGGGCTCTGACCAGGGGCAGGAACCACAGGGCAGGACTGTAGGGTTTCATTTAGGTGGCTGACTGCAGTAATTTGCTCATTTGCAGGTGAATACACAATCATGACGGCTCATTTCCATCTGAAGAGGAAGATCGGGTACTTTGTCATCCAGACCTATCTCCCCTGCATAATGACTGTGATCTTGTCGCAAGTGTCCTTTTGGCTGAACCGAGAATCAGTTCCAGCCAGGACAGTGTTTGGTGAGTGTCCCCAAGCCAGGCCTGTGACTGCCTCTAACACCCCAAAGACAGCAGCCTCAAAGTCCCTAGTGCTGCCTGTCTATTCTGTGACCTAGAAAACAAACAGACCAGTTAGTTATGAATTCAGTGTTAAAGAGTAGATTTAGGGCTGCTCTCTGAACCAGGGTTCAGAGCAATTCGATCACTGTTTCCCTTTTGAAGTCTTTCACTAAGAGCCTTTTTTTTTTTTTTTGAGGTTTGAAATTGCCAGCAATCTGTCTTATGTGGGATTTTGCTACAGTATTTTCACAAGTCTCATAAAGTACTGTTTTCTATGTTATCAGGCAGTTTTCTTTGAAATGTGCATGCCACTTTAAAATTAACTCCCAAGTGGCAGTCAATATGTTACATGTGATATGATAGTAATAGATTAAATGTATATAAAACATAATATATATTACCTTATGTATATATAAATGTAATATATATGAGATATACATACGTACGTATGATACATGTATATATGTATACATATATATGATAAGAATTTAGAAGATTATCTGACATCCTTGAGACATAAATCAAGTCTAGCAAGATCCAGCTCAGGAGGTACCTTAGCACAGCAGACATGGTTGAGTGTTTGACTTTTACGTGGAAGCTCATTTCATCAAAATCAATGTTAGAAGTAATTTCGTGGGTCAGTTGTAATGGATGCTCACATCTTTCTAAACTGTAAAGTACTATTCCCCCCTCAGCTTTTCCTATTGCACTGTCCCTTCCAAAGAAGGAAAGCATGCCCTGCATTTCCCCGCCAGCGCTCCTGTAGGTGGAGGAAGCCAGGGGAGCCTCGGGATTTCCAGTGAGGGCCCAGGATTGCTCCTGTCTGACCATCTCTCTACCTTGAGCCACATACCCAGCTTCACCTGCCTCACCTGATTTCGCTTCAGGAGGGTGTGGAGGTTGGCTTGTGGCCAGGCAGTGCTCCCCCAGCTCTTTAGGGGAGCATTAGTAGGTGGGCAAGGAAAAAAATTTAGTTTGCAGAATGCCCTATATTCCAGTCTGCTTCCTCTTAGAGATTCTCAAAGCACATTAGGTTGTTAAAGGACTCAAGGAGACACAAGAAGCCTGTTCAAGGTCACACACAGAACACTTCTCTCCAGCACAGTGATTAACTGGATTTCTAAGAAAAATCAAAGATGACTACCGATTTCTCATTTAGCGTTAATTCCATGCACAGTACCGTGTTCAGTGAGGGTATATACATACCTCTGAAGGATGACACTGAATGAAGACTAAGCTGCTATGACCACCAGCAACATGACACTCTTTTGGTGCTCTTTCCTGAGGCTGCCCTAACAAAGTACCACACACTGAGTGCTTAAGCAATAGAAATTAACTGTCTCACAGTTCTGGAGGCTACAAGTCCAAAATCAGCAGAGTTCGTTTCTTCTGAGGGCTGTGAGGGAAGGCTCTGTTTCTGGCCTCTCTCCCAGTTTCTGGTACTTCCTTGGCCTGTGGCAGCATAATTCCAGTCTTCATGTGCTGTTCTCCCTGTGTGTGTGTGAGAGAGAGATACCAGTCATATTGGATTAAGGCCTACCCTAATGACCTCATTTTAACTTGATTACTTCTGTAAAGACCATATTTCCAAGTAAGGTCTGGAAAGTAAATCTGAGGTTCTGGAGATTAGGAATTCAACTTATGCATTTGGGGGGGTACACAGTTCCACTCATAACAGGTGTGTTGCACCCACACCCCATACACATACTTGCACCTTTCTGCAAACAAAACTGCAGTAAGAAGAAAGACACAGAGCATGTGGAAACTACATGGGCTGTAAGGGTTCAGCAGACCTGGGTCCCAGTACAGGTTCTCATTTGCCAGCTGGCGAATTTGGGTACATTACTATTTTTAAATCTTTAAGCTCCTCACTTGCAAAATGGGGATAATGACACCCATCCAGAATGTAGCTTAGATCAGAATCTGGCCCTTAGTAGATGCCCGTTAGAGGCTTATCGTCCCCTTCCGAGGATCCAGACTTCCTTTATGGTCACTGTAAATTTCCCCAGAAGACAAGGCAGATGGCTACAGGCATCTTGCATGGCAGCATCAAGGTGGCCCAGATCCTTGTTAGAAGGAGTGAAGTGCCAAGACCCAGATTCAGATGTGGTGCTTCTGTTGCACTCCGGTCCTCGGAGTCTGCAGGCTGTGTTAATTCATGTGAAAGCAAGCCTGTCTCATCAGTTTTCTGGAGCCCACGACTTGTAAGGTGCACAGTGAGTCTTTGTGAAGCACTTCGTTAGAGCGGTGGGAACGTTCTTGCCCTTCTCAGCTGGACTTGCCTTGGGGCCACCTAAGATGCCCCACTCCTCTGACGCATCCTTGTTGAGCACCAGCTCTCTGCAGGGTCCGGTCAGGACAACGGGGACACAGTTAGAGTATGTGTATGAATCAGACCCAAATCCCTGCCCACCTCGATTTATGTTCTAGAGGAAGGAGACGATTGACAAGGTAAATAAACTAAGCAGTGTTTTAAATGCTATGAATGTGTTGTGCTGTGAAAATTGTAGAGGGAGCGGGAGACCTAGGCTGGGGATTAAAGTGATAGTTCCTTTCTTTCTTTGTCACGTTCAGGGGTGTTATACTGGGGTCCAGTGCTGGTGCTGATCCTTGTTCCCATTGACCCCACCCCTGTCATTGACAACCACAGGGGTGACCACGGTGCTGACTATGACGACCCTCAGCATCAGTGCCCGGAACTCTCTGCCCAAAGTGGCTTATGCGACGGCCATGGACTGGTTCATAGCCGTGTGCTATGCTTTTGTGTTCTCTGCGCTGATCGAGTTTGCCACCGTCAACTATTTCACAAAGAGAGGCTGGGCCTGGGATGGCAAAAAAGCCTTGGAAGCAGCCAAGATCAAGGTACTGACTTCATTTCCTCCATACTCCAGAGAAAATGTGCCTGATTTTATGTCCAAGTATAAGACCAGGTGTTTGTTTTCCCTACATCCCTCCCCCTGAAAAATGATTTCTTCCCTTATACTCAAGGTCCTTACAAAGTCTTATAACATGTCTTGTTTTACCTTTATTTTGAATCACCAGCTTCATTCAAGGGAAAGGTCTGATATCAGGCCTATTACTTTTGCTAAAGTACCTTCTGTCTGTTCAGGGACTATTTATCCAGTTTTGAATGGTACAGTCAATTCTTCTGCTCACTCTTGCCACTTCACCATTCAACGTGTCTTCTGCAAGGTGGCTTGAAGGTCATGAAGGGAGCATTCGAATTATTGGGAGCGACACAACAGGCAAACACACCCAATTCCACTGATGAGATGATTTGTCTTGCTTAAATGATGCACGTGAGTTATTGTGGGAAGCATTTCTCTATTCAAAGCAATTAAGTGCTGAGTATTTAGAGGGAGGTCGGTGCCTGAATCTAAAAAATATTTGAAGAAAAAAGGTTGCACAACATTCCAACCTGAACCAGATCCTTGGGGAAAAGAAAATAACATATATGGAATAGAAAATAAATAGCACATGGTAAAGTGCTAAGTATGCCACATTTAAAACAAACAAGTCCTTTGCTCTGAGAGAGGAACAGGCCGGACTTATCAGGGTAGACTTGAAAGTGAAACTTCATCTGTCCTTTGGAAATCATCATGAAGGGAGCCTGGAAGGCCCTACCGGAGACTGTGCCCCAAACCCGTGACTACACCAGGATACTCTGCTGCTGCTGAGGGCACTCAGCTGTGTGCACCCATGGCCCCTCAGGGAAGAAGGGAAGGGGGGAGATGCCTGGGGAGGGCCTTGACAAGCAGGAATCTCACGAGGGGGTGTGTTTTTGGGGATGATGGGGGACAGGAGTGAGCTGACAGCAGCAGGCGATTGGTGGGGAGCTGAGAAAACATGGCAGAGGCAGGGCGTCTTCAGACTGTGGGAATTCTGGACTGAAGTGTCCCAACAGACAGAACCATGGAGGATGTTTGTTGGGGGACATGGAGTCTGGAGAGAGGGGCTTCCCGACACCCAACACTGTGTTGCCAGGAAGTAAATGTTTGCTACAGGCCTGGAGACAGCCTCCCTGAGCCTGAGCGGGGCAGCCGCCTGGGAGGTGCTGCAGGAATTGAGGCCATCAGGCTCGTGTCTGTGAGTCTAGGAAGAAGGTGGAACCCAGGGGCAATGAAGAGTCCTTGAAGGTTGTCGAATGGGCTGTCATCATCATCGGCCACCTCGCTTGCTCACACTCAGCCTCAGTGTCCTTATTACTCGTCACAGATCTGAATGCAGACCTGGAGGGAGAGGAGGACATGGAGGTAACTGGCTCATGTAATCTCAGATTAGCACTGATCTCCTAGAAGACTAGGTGTTGTCCCCCAAGGCTGTGGTGCTGGGGATACCATCCCTTAGGCCAGTGGAGGCATCGAGGCATCTGCAGGTATCCCGGCAGGCAAGTCATACTGTTACACACGGTGGTGAGCATGAATAAGTAAGTATAGCATTACTGGCTTTTACTTAGAAGTGGAGAAAATTTGAACACCAGACTGTGTTCACCGTCGTTACCTGTTGGGGGTCTTCAGAGTTGGGGGTGCAAGATGGTTTTTAGGGGTGGACACCTGTGAAAGGACAGAGGAAGGAGTTGAAGTTGACCGTGTAGGGAGCTGTCTGCCCTCAGCTGGGCAGCAAGTCGTCCCGGAAGGAGGACAGAGGCGCATCTCTGGACCACTGTGGCCACCCTGAGTCCTGTTTGAAACACCCACTTCTGAGACCCATCATTCTCTCCTCCAGTGACTGCTCTGTCCTGGTTACACCCAGAGACAAAGACCGTGCAAACCATTGAGGTAGCTAGTCCATCATGCTGATGGGCTTCTTCTGGCAGACGAGTAGGGGTGTGTGCATGGCACCACGGGGACTGCAAAGAACCGTACCATTCCTGAGGAGTGGCCCACAGGCCCTGCTCTGCTCTGACGCTGTGGTCACCCTCACTGTGGCCCCGGGGTAGTTGTGCTCCCTGCATCTGGGTACATACGCACTCTTATTCCACCTCACTTTTCACTGCTTCTTCTTGCTCCTTCTCCATGCATTTCCTCTCTGCTTTTCATCTTTCACATATTTCTTTTTAACATCTTTATTGGAGTATAATTGCTTTACAATGGTGTGTTAGTTTCTGTCTCATAACAAAGTGAATCAGTTATACATATACATGTATCCCCATATCTCTTCCCCCTTGCGTCTCGCTCCCTCCCACCCTCCCTATCGCACCCCTCTAGGCGGTCACAAAGCACCGAGCTGATCTCCCTGTGCTATGCAGCTGCTTTCCACTAGCTATCTGTTTTACGTTTGGTAGTGTATATATGTCCATGCCACTCTCTCGCTTTGTCACAGCTTACCCTTCCCCCTCCCCATATCCTCAAGTCCATTCTTTAGTAGGTCTGTGTCTTTATTCCTGTCTTAACCCTAGGTTCTTCATGACCATTTTCTTTTTCTTTTTAGATTCCATATATATGTGTTAGAATATGGTACTTGTTTTTCTCTTTCGGACTTACTTCACTCTATGACCGACGCTAGGTCCATCCACCTCACTACAAATAGCTCAATTTCGTTTCTTTTTATGGCTGAGTAATATTCCATTGTATATATGTGCCACATCTTCTTTATCCATTCATCTATTGATGGACACTTAGGTTGCTTCCATGTCCTGGCTATTGTAAATAGAGCTGCAATGAACATTTTGGTACATGACTCTTTTTGAATTATGGTTTTCTCAGGGTATATGCCCAGTAGTGGGATTGCTGGGTCGTATGGTAGTTCTATTTGTAGTTTTTTAAGGAACCTCCATAGTTGCTGTATCAATTTACATTCCCACCAACAGTGCAAGAGGGTTCGCTTTTCTCCACACCCTATCCAGCATTTATTGTTTCTAGATTTTTTGAGGATGGCCATTCTGACTGGTGTGAGATGATATCTCATTGTAGTTTTGATTTGCATTTCTCTAATGATTAATGATGTGGAGCATTCTTTCATGTGTTTCTTGGTAATCTGTATATCTTCTTTGGAGAAATGTCTACTTAGGTCTTCTGCCCATTTTTGGATTGGGTTGTTTGTTTTTTTGATATTGAGCTGCATGAGCTGGTTGTAAATTTTGGAGATTAATCCTTTGTCAGTTGCTTCCTTTGCAAATATTTTCTCCCATTCCGAGGGTTGTCTTTTGGTCTTGTTTATGGTTTCCTTTGCTGTGCAAAAGGCTTTAAGTTTCATTGGGTTCCATTACTCTAGGAGGTGGGTCAAAGTGGACCTTGCTGTGATTTACGTCATAAAGTGTTCTGCCTATGTTTTCCTCTAAGAGTTTGATAGTGTCTGGCCTTATATTTAGGTCTTTAATCCACTTTGAGTTCATTTTTGTGTATAGTGTTAGGGAGTGTTCTAATTTCATTCTTTTACATGTAGCTGTCCAGTTTTCCCAGCACCACTTATTGAAGAGACTGTCTTTTCTCCACTGTATATTCTTGCCTCATTTATCAAAGATAAGGTGACCATATGTGTGTGGGTTTATCTCTGGGCTTTCTATCCTGTTCCATTGATCTTTCTGTTTTTGTGCCAGTACCAAACTGTCTTGATTACTGTAGCTTTGTAGTATAGTCTGAAGTCAGGGAGCCTGATTCCTCCAGCTCCGTTTTTCGTTCTCAAGATTGCTTTGGCTATTTGGGGTCTTTTGTGTTTCCATACAAATTGTGAAATTTTTTGTTCTAGTTCTGTGAAAAATGCCACTGGTAGTTTGATAGGGATTGCATTGAATCTGTAGATTGCTTTGGGCAGTATAGTCATTGTCACAATGTTGATTCTGCCAATCCAAACACATGGTATATCTCTCCATCTATTTGTATCATCTTTAATTTCTTTCATCAGTGTCTTATAGTTTTCTGCATACAGGTCTTTTTTCTCCTTATGAAGATTTACTCCTAGGTATTTTATTCTTTTTGTTGCAGTGGTAAATGGGAGTGTCTCCTTAATTTCCCTTTCAGATTTTTCATCATTAGTGTATAAGAATGCAAGAGATTTCTGTGCATTAATTTTGTACCCTGCTACTTTACCAAATACATTGATTAGCTCTAGTAGTTTTCTGGTAGCATCTTTAGGATTCTCTGTGTATAGTATCATGTCATCTGCAAACAGTGACAGCTTTACTTCTTCTTTGCTGATTTGGATTCCTTTTATTTCCTTTTCTTCTCTGATTGCTGTGGCTAAAACTTCCAAAACTATGTTGAATAATAGTGGTGACAGTGGGCAACCTTTTCTTGTTCTTGATCTTGGTGGAAATGGTTTCAGTTTTTCACCTTTGAGGATGATGCTGGCTGTGGGTTTGTCATGTATGGCCTTTATTATCTTGAGGTAAGTTCTCTCTATGACTACTTTCTGGAGGGTTTTTATCAAAAATGGGTGTTGAATTTTGTTGAAAGCTTTCTCTGCATCTATTGAGATGATCATATATTTTCCCCCCTTAATTTGTTAACATGGTATATCACATTGATTGATTTGCATATATTGAAGAATCCTTGCATCCCTAAGATAAATCCCACTTGATCATCGTGTATGATCCTTTTAATGTGCTGTTGGTTTCTATTTGCTAGTATTTTGTTGAGGATTTTTGCATCTATGTTCATCAGTGATATTGGCCTGTAGTTATATTTCTTTGTGATAGCTTTGTCTGGTTTTGGTATCAGGGTGATGGTGGCCTCATAGAATGAATTTGGGAGTGTTCGTCCCTCTGCTACATTTTGGAAGAGTTTGAGAAGGATAGGTGTTAGCTCTTCCCTAAATGTTTGATAGAATTCGCCTGTGAAGCCATCTGGTCCTGGGCTTTTGTTTGTTGGAAGATTTTTAATCACAGTTTCAATTTCAGTGCTTGAGTTTGCTCTGTTCATATT